TCCTCTGTGCGGGAATCTCTCCGCTTTGCCCTCCACACCGCTGTGGCTGCGCTCTTCTCCGCGGCCCCGAAGCTCCCCCTCCGCCACCCGCAGCCTCCGCCCGCGCAGGGGCTCCTAGTGTGTGGAAACCTTTCCTCCTTCACAGCTCCCTCCCACTGGTGCAGGTCCCATACCTATTCTTTTGTCTCTGTTTATTCTTTTTCCCTACCCAGGTACGTGGGGACTTTCTTGCCTTTTCGGAGGTCTGAGGTCTTCTGCCAGCGTTCAGTAGGTGTCCTGTAGGAGTTGTTCCACGTGTAGTTGTTGCACATGTATTTCTGGTGTATCTGTGGGGATGAAGGTGCTCTCCGCGTCTTACTCTTCCGCCATCTTCCCCCTCTCTCCAAGAATAGTTTTCTTTAGTCTTTGAACATATTTATAATAGCTGCTTTGACGTCTTTGTCTGTTAAGTCCGACATCTGGGTCCTTTCATAGGCTGTTTCAGTTGTTTGCGTTTTTCCTTATATACTGGTCACATTTTCCTGTTTGTTTACACACTTTATAACTATTTTTCCCCAAATGGGTGTTTTAGATAATATATTTTAGCAACACTGGATACTGATTTTCCCTTCTCTCAGGCTTGTTGTTTGCTTATTTATATGTTTTGTGACTTAGATAGGCTATTTCTTTAACACCCCCCCCCCCCCCCCCCCACCCCCAATGTGGAGTCCTTGGCGTTGCTTCTCAGAGGATGCATCCTTGGAGGTGTGCACAGTCACTCTGAGATGACGGTACTTTTAGTAGGTCTCTCTCTGAGGGTTTCTTTTCCTAAATTTTCTTTTAAGCTGTTGACTTCTGTTGGTATCACACGAAGCTGTTAGGCTCCACTAACTGCCAGCTGATTGCTCTATTACTTCCAACAATAGTCAAGGGCTTAAGTTCCTCTACAGTCTGATCCAATTATATTTGTACCCTTTTGCCAAAGAGCCGATCTTTGGCCAAGAGGGCTATTCTTAGCTGTGTCTTTCTCTGATAAAATAGCTGATCTACAATTTAGCTTGTTGCTGTTGTGCAGCTACCAGCCTCCTATACCTGTCTTCAAGTTCACTGATCATTTCCCTTGCTCTGCCTAGTCTGTCATTAAGCCCATATAATGAATTCTTCATTTCTGATATTGTATTTTCCACTGTAGCATTTCTATTAGGATCATTCTTTTAGTTTCTATGTGTTTGAATTCTCCATCTCTTCAGACATGTTATCTACCTTTTACACGCCATTCTTTAGGATTTTTATCATCGTTACTTTAAAGTCCCTATCTGTTAGTTTCAATAGCTAGTCTACTGAAATTAAGAGGAATTTATATTTGGAGACTAGCTAGGTCTTCTCCTTTTGTCTGTCTCCTCCCTGGATCATGGATCAAATTTTATTGCCTCTTCACGCATCTTACTTTTTACCACATGTAAGACATTTTGTATCAAATAACAGTATATTCCTCTTCTTTCAGGCTATCAGAGGTGGAGCACAGAGTCAGTCCTGTCCATGGTTGAGCTGAGTCTGGACTTTTTTTTTGTTTTTGTTTTTTTGCGGTACACAGGCCTCTCACTGCTGTGGCCTCTCCCACTGCAGAGCACAGGCTCCGGACGCGCAGGCTCAGTGGCCATGGCTCACGGGCCCAGCCGCTCCGTGGCATGTGGGATCTTCCCGCACCAGGGCATGAACCCGTGTCCCCTGCATTGGCAGGCGGACTCTCAACCACTGTGCCACCAGGGAAGCCCTGGACTTTTTTGTGGGTTTGGTTTGATACAGTTCACTGCAGCCTTCAAGTGCTTTGGAAGGAGGGTCAGGACTTTCCCTCTGCATGGCTTGGGCTCTGAGCACTGAGAGGTCTCTTTCTGTTTTACATCTGAGGTCCCAGCTTTCTGAACCTTGAGAGTTCCTTCTCTACGTTGTAGCCTGGCTGGCAGACGTAGGGGCCACAGAGACTTACTGTTGCTCTCTGGCCCCACTGGAGAGCTCTCTCTGGTCTGTTGCCCTGCTCCCAAACTTGGGAGGGCAGTTGTCTAACACTCAGTGAAGGTCTGTGATGCCTTGAAGGGGTTTCCTCCAACTCTCCCCTGTACACTAGACCTCAGTAGCTGAAAGCCTGGAGTTTCCAGGATGGATTTCTCTTGACTTTCCCCCTTGGCCCCCCACTTTCAAAGGGCTGCTGTCTGTCACTTGGGGAAGCCACTCCCTATCTTGGGGTCTTTCAGTCTTCTCGATTTACCCGTGGGAAAGAGGAGCCCGTGGATACAAACTCGCTCTGTGGCTGGAGCTCCTCCACCCTCTAATCTGTCATCTGGCCATCAGAGCTTCCTTCAGCTGGCCGCATGTTCCTGCCCGTCCTGTGCTTCCCTCACCACTCTCTCAGGGGTGAGAGCAGTCAGCTAGCAAACTCCTTCAATAATATTTTCTATCACTTCACTTCCATACTCTGGGTTTCATACAAATGTTAGTCATATGGAAGCGCTGCATGTTCACAGTAAGGACAGCGTTTTCTTGGAGAGCCAGAAAGTGAGTTGTTTTATGAAACATCTTAATTTAGTCAATTTTTTTTAAAAAACAGGGAAACTCTATGGTAGTCATTGCCTTTGTCTGTGAAAATTATAGAAAAGGGAAATCAGGAGACCAGCGAAGGAAATCACTCCACTTCTGGAAAATACTTTCTGTTTGCCCTTACTTAGGTCCTTTTTCAAACTTCTGAAGGTTGAGGAAGGGAATGGGGCTGCCTGAATGTCTGTTTGACGGGATCTCTTCATGCTGTGGTTTCTCATTTTTCTAATTTCAAATTTCAGAATTTTAAAGCAGACAGTGGCTTGTCCAACTTTACAAAGCTTCTTAATTACCTGATAGTGAGAGGAAAATTGGGCTGAAGGCATAATTGGCAGAAGAGCTCACCCAAGTACCATGACTTTACTCTGATTTAAGGAAGTTTCAGCCAGAGAAAGTGGTCATTTCCAACTGGGCTGTTCTTATATTGCTACGTTGTGAGGTGTGTGATTCCAAAGTTATTCCCTGTAGTAGGGATAAATCCAAGTGGTCATTTCTATCGTAATGCTCCATGGGTAATTGCCAGGATCCTCATTTTAGGACTTGGTTCTTTGACTGCCATGACTGCAACATGTATCCGTGAATACATTTGGTCCAATCTCCTTAACCGTGTTGGAAACTGGTCCAGCTTGGCCTCCCATAGGGAACTCTTTCTGTGGCCAAAGATGCCAATACATGTAATTTCTTACATGCTTGTGGCCTCAGCTCCCTCGGACGTCAGGCTGGCCATGCAGTGACAGACCTGCCTCTCAGTGGGAGTTCTCAGGATGTCTAATCAGATGGAAATCTGACCTGTATGCACGACTGGCCTTGGCAGTTAGATGGTGCAGAAAACCAAATCTGCCCTGGCTTTACTAGTTCACGAGGTGAGTGCTGGCCACAGTCCCGCTTGCTGTGGACCCATTGCCTTCCAGTTGGATGTCTTTGGGTTGGATCCGTTTCTCGTGAACCCACAGAAGGAAATCAGCGCTGTTAGGAGATCATGTGGAGACGTAAACCCGGAACTCCAGGGACTTTCCAGGTGCATCTGTGGACCGTTCATTCATTCATGCACTTACCTCCATCTGTTGGGGACCTACTATGTGCCAGGCTCCGTGCAAGACCCTGGGGTTATGGGGGTAACCAGGAAATAGTTCCGCCCACAGGGGGATCATAGTCTAGAGGGAGAGATAGACACAGAACAAGAAATGACAGATGGGGGTGTGTGCAGAAGCCAGGATCTGGTGGGCACTTGGCAGGGGGCCTTGACTGAGCCTGGGGTGAGGGCATGAGCAGAGGTGGTTTCCCCCGAGGAAGCCGCCTATACCCTGAGACCCCCAGGAGGAGTAACATTCCCAGATGAGGAGGGAGAGAAGGGGCAGGCGGAGAGTATTCAGGGAGAGGACCCGGTGTGCAAGGGTCCCCAGCGGGAGCCGGCAGTGTGTTTCCACGAAGGCAAAGGCCAGTGTGTCTGAGGGCAGGAGGGTGAGATGACGTGGAGAAGTAGGTGAGACCACGTCATGGGGCTTCGTAGCTACGTGAAGGAATCTGGATTTTATCCTAAAAACAAGGGGGAAGAAGTAGAAGGATGCGAAGTAGAGGAGTGAGCTGATTACGTTTGCAGTTTCTTTTTTCTTTTTTTTTTTTTTTTTTTGCGGTACGCGGGCCTCTCACTGTTGTGGCCTCTCCCGTTGCGGAGCACAGGCTCCGGACGCGCAGGCTCAGCGGCCATGGCTCACGGGCCCAGCCGCTCCGCAGCATGTGAGATCCTCCCGGACCGGGGCACGGATCCGTGTCCCCTGCATCGGCAGGCGGACTCTCAACCGCTGCGCCACCAGGGAAGCCCTAGATTTGCATTTTCAAGAGATCCCCCTGGGGCAGAAGGGGCTGGAGGGTGCAGCTGGTGGAGGGAAGGGGGCTTCTTTGCAGACACCCAGGCAGGAGGCTCTGGGACCCTGGTCCTGGGCTGGAGGTAGGGAGTGGGGTGGAGCGACCTGGAGTAACTCTGCGTATTTTAAGAGTAAACTTCATGTGACTTGATGATGGAATTAACTGGGTGGGTGAAGGAGAGCCTGCGAGTTTCCTCAACAACAAGCACAAACTGGGGAGCTTAAAACAACAGAAATTTATTTGTTTCACAGTCCAGGAGGCCAGAAATCTGAAATCAAGGTGTGAGTAGGGCCATGCTCCCTCTGCAGGCTCTGGGGGAGGGTCCTTCCTGCCTCTTCCAGCTCCTGGGGCTCCTGGCATCCCTGGCTTGTGGCTCCATCACAAATCCCTGCTTCCATCTTCACATGGCTTCTCCCTGTGTCCTCACCTCCTTTTATAAGGACACCAGTCATTGGATTTAGGACCCACCAGGGAGATCTCATTTTAATGAACTAATTACATCTGCAAAGACCCTATGTCTAAATAAGATCTCATTCTGAGGTTCTGGGTAGACATGAATCTGGGGGGGGCACCCCTGAACCCACTACAGGGAGGGAGGAGGAGTCAAGGATGGCTCCAGACTTCCTGCTTGAGGAGCTGTGTGGGACAGACAGACAGCAGCGTAAAGACATCAGGACCACTGATCCGGGGACACGAGATCATGGGTGCGCGGGTGGTGAGACCGGACCTGGTGGCAGCCTCAAGCGCCTCGCCTTAACCTTTTCTTCTTTTTCACGTGAGTGAGGCTGAAAACCTTTCAGTTCGTCCTTACTTGGCGAAAGCTGTTCTGTAAAGCTAATGCATAGATTGTCGGCTCAACTCAGTAAAGGTTGTGAGGACCTTCATAGTGTGGGGACCCCTGAGGCCTCGCACGGTACCAGGTTCAGCGTCGGGGCTGGGAGGGCCCAGCTGTCCCGGGCTCTCGGCACTGACCAGCTTGGCCACTTCCCAGCTGTGTGGCCTCGGGGAGGTCTCTGAGCTTCTCAGGTTGCTTCCTTTGTACAACAGAGTTGAAAACACTTACGAACAGGGTCATGGAAATAATCATGTAATGCTTGAAAGTGCTCGACACAGAACCAGTCTGGGTTTGGTTTTGTTTTTACTTTTAATGGAGGAGTTCCGCATCAGGATTTTACTTTACATTCACCAAACCCATCAGCTGGAGAGTGTCCGCGATTACGCGATGCTTGGTGAAACATCCACGTTCCTCTTGAGCGTGAATTATTGACAAATGCTTGTGATTCTTCCTTTCCTAAGCACTCAGGTGAGAAAAATCCCACTTCATTGTAGATTCTCTTTTATTAAGGAAATACTTTATTTAGGAGCCTGGGAAAATGGTGCTTGATGGATACATAATAAGCAGGTGGATAAGAAAAACAGTAACCTTCCCTCATAAAAAGAAGGCAAGGAAGTGAAAAATCCGCAAAAGGAGTGATGCTAAAGAACTTTGCATTTAGAGAGAGAGAGAGATCACTTGTCAGTTCCTTTCTTCAGTTTCCTTCGGTTGCCCAGCTCCGTTGCCGTACCCTTAGAATGGCTCTTCCTCCAGCACTAAATCAATGAGCCAGCACTCCATACAGCTGTGCCTGCCCTCAACCTCCACGTGACTCTGTACCCCAGCCCCCCTCCTTCCTGTCCCATAGCCCTTTCCTGGCACGGTTTCCTCGCTGACCCAGCCTGGATCCCAGAGCCAGGCATGGTCTCACTCTCCATTGGATCTCAGCCTTGACCTATAGCCCCCCATCCCCAGCCTTCAGACGTCTCTCTCCTGGTCTCAGGGTTTTCTGGCTCCTCATTGATGGCAGAAATCACGACCGTGCCTTAGCCATTTCCCCAGCCTCGGCCAAGGCCAGAGAGCTGCTTGCCCATCTTCTTGTATATCCCAGTCTCACAAACTTGTTAAGACCTTGATCCAGGTCTCATGTGCATCACTTACTGGAAGCACCAAACATCTTCTGCCAACCATCTGGATGCCAGAATGCCATCTTTCACAAGTCAGCTCCCAGAATCTGACCTCCCCTGTGAAACCTTCTGCCCTGATTCATCAGAGGACAGTGAATGTCCTTCTGTTAACCATTATAGCCTGGACCGAGGCTTCTCCTGGTCACTTCACATGTTCTCAACCCTCACACGTGCCTAAGGTGCTTGCTCTTACCTCCTACCCTGAGAGTATGACACGCTTACTTTGCACCTGGTTCACTTTGTTTTCTTTTCTTTTGTCACGAAATGTAAGGATTTATTGCAAGTAGTCCAAATTGAAGTTTAGTTTCCAAAATTGCAGGCATGAGCAGTGTCTCAATGGAATACCCACTTTAGTGAAATTTACTTCAGTGGTCCTCCTTCTGTTGGATAATTTGCTTCAAGGTTTTCAGCCTGGTTGCTAATACAGCAGAAGAGCCTTCGTGCATGTGATGTTCTCTGTATTTAGGGCTCTTTCTTCAGGATAGATTCTGACACATGAAGAAGTTCAACGTTCTGCGCCTCTTGAAAAGTAATGCAGAATTGCCATTCTGGGAGCTTGTGGTGATTTAAAGTGCTCCTAGCAATACACAAAGGTGTTTGATTTCACCACTTCCCCTGGAGGAGTGGAAAGTGAGATAGAAGATCAGCTGGAGATGAGGGGAGAGCCTGGAAGTGCTTAGTGCCCAGTCAAATACAGCGAACATCTCACCTTCCCATCTGTCCTAAAGGTCCAGGTAGAATCCCAATCTCATGTTGACTCAGCAGGTCACCTGTCTCCGGGGTTTAGTCTCATAGACCAAAGGAGATGTGAGCACAGAGTTGGCTTCCCTGCCAAGAAGCTGTGCAAACTTCATCCTCTCAGCAGCGGATTCCCTGTAAGTCTGACCAAGAGTGTGTCTTGGGAAAGTGAGCTTTGCGTGAATCATTTCCACCCTGCTCTTGCTCCAGAGTCGGGATCATCCACTTAATTCCTGGCTGGAAGTAACCAGTGGGTTCTGCTGAGCTGGCCGCAAGTGTGTGCTGGGATTGTCAGGCTCTTTCCTAAGTCGTAGTGGGGCTTGTTTGTTTCATGGAGACGGTACAGCCCCTTGCTCAGTGGCCGTTTTGATTTGTTCTCGGAATACGAAGCTGTCCCCCATCAGAAACATACATCCTCCCTCTCCATGGAGGATCCTTCTTCCGTATCAGACCAGTTCTCCCAAAGAAAGCTCCTTCCTGGTGGGCAACTCAGCAACGACGTACCAAGAGAGATGGACGGTTCAGCTGAGCAACAGAACCTTAAGCTTTGTTAGCAGACGCGTGTCTTCAAGTTCTGCCTCTCTCATTGGCTCGCAGTGTGAGCTCAGCCTGGTGGCTGGAACCCTCTGAGCCTCACTTCCCACATCTGTAAAATGGGGACAAAGGCTGTCTCTGCCCCCTAGGGCTTCAGGCAGAGCACTCCGTGTGATCTCCCCCTCCTCGCCAGGGAAGCTCAAAGGTAAGTCACAGTTCCCTCTAAGTTGTGATGCCTTCTCCTTTCCCCTTAAGCCTGCTTGAAAACCACAGAGTCTAGAGGCAGCCCAGGGAGGTGGCCCAGCCCTGCTTTTCTCTGAATCTGGCAGAAAGGAAGGATAGAAACCCAAGGTCCAAACAGGCAGCCCGGGGGCCAAGTTTAGCCTGTAGATGTGGTTGGTTTGGTTTGAACGGTGTGTGTGTGTGTGTGTGTGTGTGTGTGTGTGTGTGTGTGTGTGTGTAACTGAACGAGGATTTAACAGTTGGGGGATTTTACACAAACATCTGGACTTCTGGCATGGCTTGAAAACCTCAGAGCTTCAGGCAATGCTGAGCTGCCACAATGAGCCTCTCTTGAGGACAAGGTTGTCCCTCCATTTTGTTCACTGCTCTGTTTCCATGGCCTAAAGCCATGCTTGGAGGTGTTCTCGATTTGCAAAACTGGAAGAACGGATGGCCAAGTGGTGGCCGCCCACTTTGGGCAAGACCCACCCTGTCCAGTGTGTCAAAGCCCCCGCCCCCTGCATGGAGAGCTCACACCTGGTCCACCGTCACATACCTGTGTCCCCAGCCTGGCCTCTCGGTAACAGCCGTGGGCATAAAGTGTGTGTCCTTCATTCTAAAATGTGGTCCATCAGACCCCAGCTAGAAACGCTTCCAGAAATTCCGCCGCGAGGAAGCCTAGATGCCTGCGGCTGTGACCACAGCTCTCACGAGTGAGCGCATTCTGGGGCGGGGTCAGGCAGACGTCATTGGCTGCCGTTGCCAGGGCAGTGCCCACGGTGTAGTGCCTGTGCTGCGTGGACAAAGAGAAGGGATGTTGTTTAAGGGGCCAGCAATGCTCCTCTTATTGTGCATTTTCCAGGGAAAATAAGTCTCGGACCCCCAGTTAGAGGCAAAAGCCGTACAACCCACATCCAGATGTCCCTGTGTTCTTCCATCCAGAGCAGCGGTTCTCCACTGGGGGTGGTTTTGGCAATGTCTGCAGACATTTTGGTTGACACAACCGGGAGGAAGTTCTATTGGCCTCTAGAGGGTAGAGACCAGCGACGCTGCTAAACATGCCGCGGTGCACGGGGCATCCCCCATGGCAGAGAATGGCTGGGCCGCAGCGTCTGCAGCGCCGGGGCTGGGAAGCCCTGTGCTAGAGCCACAACACCTGGGTGCTCCCCCAGCCCTGCTTCATCACTGCGGGCCTCGGCCCACTGCCTCTCTGAGCCTCAGGTTCCCGTCTCTAGTTCGGGGATGATAGGAAGGCCCATCCCTTGTGGACACGTGGGGCTGTAAAGGAGATAGCCTGTGTGCAGGTCCCAGGCGTCCCGGGAAGGCAGTAGTCATATAGCGCTCTGCTGCGAGCTAACCATGACCTCAGGCCAGTCACGTGCCTGCTCTGAGCCTCAGTTTCCCCACCTGGACATCAGGGAGAGTGATATCGCACCCTTCTGGGATGTGAGATTAAACAGGACTCTGCCCGTGCTCGGCACACGGCACGTGAGGATAACCGTGAGTGTTGCCGTCTGCCTCTCACCCCCTGCTCCTGACTTCCCCTGGCACAGCCGTGCCTTAGGTGCAGCTCCCGGCCTCTCCCCCTGCCCTCACATCCGCATTCCTCATCCACGAGGTGGGTAAACCCACCCCGACCCACACTCTCCAGGAGGATTCGGGAAGTCCACTGAGCCTGACCTTTGGTGGATGGACAGCTCACAGGGGAGAGGGGAGACAGTGGATGGGCTTCCAGGGGAGAGATGGGCGTGGCTTAGTCTAGGCTGGTGTTGATGGGGGTGGCGGGGAGGGGACGGAATTGAGAGAGATCCTGAGGGCAGAGCCCAGTGGAGTTGCCAGTGGATTGTGTGGTCTGTCCCAGAGAACTGTGAGGTGTCCGGGGACGGGAGCGCACCTCGTTTCACTGGTTTCTCCCCAGCGACTGAGTCAATATGGTTTGTGGATTTAAATAAGCTTGGAGCTTTTGGGGCCTCCTTCTGGGATAATCCTAACTCATCTGTCATCTTCTCGTGGTTTATATGCCATTGTGGCAGGAGTGTCCTGAGACTGGGGTGGGGTCTCCCTCCCACCTGAGCCTCTTTAGGTCTCAGTTTCCCTATCTGTACAATGGGGATGAAATCCCTCCCTCCATGGCCTCTTGTGAGGATTCAGTAAGACCTGGTATTGGAAGACCCAGCAGTGATGGGCTCCTGGAGAACAGATGGGAGGAATGTGGTGATGAATCGTCCTCATGAGAGCTGGTCCCAGGGGCGCTGAGTGCCTCCTGGGAGCCTGGCACCAGGCTAAGCGGCGTTTCTGCTGTTAACCCTGTCTGGCTCAGTGACTTGGCCTGGGTCACTGCTCACAGCCGGGTTCTGGGGCTCTGCATATGGCAGGTGCACAGCTGGGTTGGGAGCTCCCGGGAGCAGGCCTTGTACCTGACCTTGCTTGGCGCTCCCTTGGGACTGCTCTGAGCTGGACAGTGATTCGTGGACCCTGGATGTTGGCACCTCGGAGCTGCGGAGGGCCACACCCAGGCCCGGGTCAGACAGAAGTGACTTCTGTGCCACCTCCTAACATGTGGCCTTGGGAGCTCATTTTACCTCTTGGAGCCTCAGTTTCCCCACCAGACAGAGGGATCATAGAAGTGCCCGCCCTCAGGACAGTCATAAGTGAGGGTGAGACCAGGCCTGGCAAAGGGGGCCCGGCGGTTGCCCCTGCCTGGCAGCCCGGTGCTGCCTGCAGAGCTGCTTTGCATGCGAGTCGAGGGAGAGTAAACCGTTTATGTTTCCGTCCTCTGCCTTCAGCCGAGATTCCAGTCCTCAGTTTTCCTGACCCTGAAAAGGGGCAGAAATTGTCTGCCCACTTCAGCTGTAAGCACATCGGGCTGGCCCCTCCCCGGTGGGATGGCAGAGAGGTGCCATTAGCAGGGCAAGGCCTCTTTTCTGAAAGGCAGAAGCAGCCTATCCGTGGCTGCTGGAATTAGAGGTTTCCAGAGAGACCCCAAACGTGGATAACTCCCAAAAAATGTTCCGTGTTCGTGTGCTTTGCTCCAGGTCTGTGTGAGGGGGCCTGACTCTCCTCTGAGCCCTGCCCTTGGGATTGCCTCCCCCCCCCCACCCAGCTCTTGGTTGGAGCCTTTACTGTGTGATAAGCACTTTGCTTACCTCACACCAGCCCTGGGGAGGGGGATCCACGCTGTACACTTGGGGAAACGGAGGTACACAGTGGGGCGTGAAGCCCTGGCTGCAATGTGGTGGACACAGAACTCAGGCCCGGGTCAGCCTTGCTCCAGAGCCCGGCCCCCAACACCTATGTTTTTCTCCATCAGCAGGAAGGATCTGGGCCCCTCTGGGTGTGCAGTGAAGCAGACTTAATAGCAAGACCTTCACTGATCAGCTCCTGGCCCCGACCTAACCCCTGGCAGCCTTATACCCACTTTGCAGGTGAGAACATTGAGGCCCAGAGGAGTTGTTGCTTTCCCAAGTTGACACCGTCATGAGGTGGTGAGAGCAGGATTCAGACCCAAGCTGCCTTTCTCTAGATTAGAAATCCCAGCCAGGGACAGTTCTTCCCCCTCCAGGGGACATCACAATGTCTGGAGACACTTGGGTCGTCAGAATTGGGGCTGGGGGCTTCTGGCATCTCATGGGGAGAGGTCGGGATGCTGCTGGACGTCCTACGATGCACGCTGTGGGTCCCCGATGCCAACAGTGCTGAGGCTGAGAAACCCTGCTCTGGGCCCCTCCTCGCTGGGCAGTCACCCCTAAGCCAGCCATAGAGGTATAGATGCAATAGGTGTTGGGCCTTCAGCTGAGCCTCCCCTTCTGTCTGCTGCCCATCCGGGCCTGGAATAGAAGGTGCAGTGAGGGTCCCTGCCGTCAGCACCTTTTCACCGAGGTTGGAGGTCAGAGTCCCATTCTCCTGCCGTGGTCCCTCCAAGCTTGGCTCTGGGCAGCCTCCCTGACCTAAGCCTGCAGCAGCCATCTCATGACTGTGCAGGGCCAAGGTGCCCTCTCCCCAAGGTCAGCATGGCAGCAGTGGGGGTAGAGGAGAGCACCCCTCTAATCGATGGGCCCCGCCTAAGGCCAGGAGAAGTTGCTGGCGCAGTGGGTTTTGAATGTGGGACTTAGGGCTTAGGTTCTGGTGACTTCTGCCAGACTCTGGCCAGCTGCTGCCCTGGGCAGTGTCCTGACAGCGCTGGGGAGCAAATCGTAGGCACTGAGCAGAGCAGGGGGGGCTTGGTCCATGAGCTGATTCCTCAGGCCCTGGGCCGCTCTCCTCACCCCATCCCCACCTGCACTCCTGTAATGTCTGTATTTAGAAATGTTTACAGATAATAATGGTGTTCAGCCCCAAAAGGCAGACAGGAGCGTCCTGACAATTGCAGTGCGGCTCCGGGTTGGAGCTTTTTTCAGGGAGCTGAGCTAGTCCGGAGCGCTGCAGGGCTGTTTGCCAATCACTGCCTCCGAGGGAGGTTTGGAGAGACAGGATCCAGGCGCCTGCAGGGAGACAGAGTTCCCTGGGAGAATGAGGACCTTAATTCAGAACCATTCTTTGACCAGAAGGTAAGTGGGATTCCCCCAGACACCTCCGAAGGAGGGAGGGGTGTAGGCGTCTTTTGTAGGGGAGGCCTCTTAAGAAGGCAGAGACTTCGCAAAAGTGAACAGCACCAGGGCCAGCGGAGGGGGAAAGACTGCCCCGCCCCGCCATGAATCAGATGGCCAGGTTGGGAGTCTGGGCTGAGAGATGGGTGTGCCCTTCTCCCCACAGATGGGTCGATTTTATGTGTCTGGTGGGTCGGGCCAGGATTAGCCAGCAGCCCTGCCACAGAGACCAGAAAAAGAGTCTTTTGTTTCCACAGGAATGCTATTTTAACCTATTACTTCTGTGCTAAAAATAAAAATCCCACCTGGATGCCTTTTCATCTCCAGCTTGTAAGCTGATTCCCAGGGAATAATAGATTGTCGTCGATGTGCATTTTGACTGCATGGGGTCCTATTC